ACTTGTTCAGATCGATGCAGCACGGCTTGAGTGGTACACGCTTCCGAAATGTTGAAGAAGTGCGAGAATGGGTGGACGAATGGATTGCTTCGAAACAAACATCGTTTTATCGAGATGGTATCGCCCAGTTGCCAGAAAGATGGCAAAAAGTTGTAGAAAGTGATGGAAAATACTTTCATTGAAATAATTTAAATAAATTTTTTACAATAAATGCTTTTTCTCAGTATTTTTTGGGCGGAAACTAAGTTAAGGTCCTAATATATGGATTTATTGACCTCATCTTGTCGTTTAAGGATTAATAATGAGAATTGTTGATAATTAGGACTCGACAAGATCTAGATTTAGATGATCAATTGGGATTTACCTATAGTCAAAGTTATAAAATAAATTTTTAGTCAAATATGCGGTTGCAGTTACGAATTTATTATTATTATTATTATTACTTTACTGAGCACTAATACAAATTAGCACAATTTCTCGATCGACTCGTCGGCCTTGCCGTCGCTCTTCGGACGCGTCGAGGATGCTCCGTGCTTTTTTTTCCTTTAATCACGATCAATTATGCCGTCGCCTGCCACGGAGATTGACACGTTGACCTTCTTGGCGACGGAGAGTGGTCAATTGAATTAAAGGCCGCGTCCACCCTCGAAATTCGAAAACTCGATTATGCAGATTCGCGCGAGCAACGTCGAGCCCGCGGTCCCGTAATCAATTGAATCCCGTATGCGAATTCGTCTCGCGCGCTCGTCTCGCTGTTTTTGCGCGCCGCGATAACACTTTTGTCGGGAGCGAAAGTGCGAATATCCGATTCTTCGTTGTAAACAGGTCAACACCAATCATGGATAATGACGAGCCTCCGAGGAAGACGAAAGAGAAACGTACACGGTGAGAATATTGTAGTAAAAATTATGCAACTTTAGTAGTCCGGGAATAGGCTGGCGCGAATCGAAATTTTAGCCCCATGTTAAACCTTGAATTCTACAACGCAGTAGGAGCTAAGTTAGCAAAGTTGGTTGAAATTTAATAATACAATTTACTCCTACTTTGATAATATCCCGAAATTTCCCTTTTCATTTTCTTTAACGTTAAAATAAATTGTATTATAGATTTTAACACATCGAAATAAGTGTTGAATAGAACAATAAGGCTGAAAGTAGAATCAAAGTTTCGATTCGGGTATTACGAAAATCATAATTAATTATAGTCATTAGTAAAAATGACTATAAATGTAGTGAGAGTTATCATGTTTATGATAATTTTTGCTATGTTTTATTATAATTTTCGTAATAGTGGCAGTCTCTCTTTCTCTTTCTCTCTCTTCCTATTCCCAATCCACTAAAATTACACAGCAGTTTTTACTACAATATTCTCTCCGTCTCTAGAAACACGACTTATAAAAAGCCGCGACTTTGTATACACCGGCATCGAGAGGTTCGCGCAGTCAAGTTAATATGCTAATTGCCGCATTCAAAGAGCGGAACTAATTGAATTAAGCGATGCAAAAAGTTTCCGCCCCGAAATTAGCATGAATTAGAGAGGAGAGCCGCGGTATCCTTTCGTGTCTTCTCATTGGGCCGACCATTCAGTCCGCGACTAACAGACTCTCGCTCTCGGAAGTTATCCCGTCGTTAAAAATAACCGGCTTCCTTCTTCTTCACCTTTGGCGCCTCCACGATGCGTGGCGCGAAGTGTTTCTCGCGCAGCACCCACGCTTCAATTCCGCGCGCGCCAAGGCCTTTCGCGACAGCAAAGACGAGCAGGGAAAAAAGAAAATAGAGAGAGGGAGCGAAGTCTCAAGTTGACACTTCTCTCTTCGCACAAATTGCCAATTAAATATCTATTTCAGCGTTTCCTAGGATTGCGGATTCTCTGATTTGTTGCTTGATTTTTATTCTTTTATTCTCAATATAAAATATATTTTATATTTTCAATATAATTTTATTTTCAATATAAAATTTTATTTTCAATATAAAATATATGGCAAATCGAGTGACAAACCAAGACTAAATCCAATAACAAATGAGATAGGCCCGAAATATTAGGAGACGCTTAAACGAGTATCCTGAATTAATGATCATGTGTGTGCGAAGGGAAAAGCACCAACTTGAAACTTCGCTCCCTTCCTCTGTTATTCTTTTTTTCATTTCATTTATTTTCAACACATCGGAGTCTCTCTCCCTTGAAAGAATAAATAAATAACTGAGTAAACCATGCGCCGCTCTGTCGCGTTGAATCCACTCGAGAGTCTCTCGAGATTCGACGAAGAAGAGAACGGAGAAGCCTCGCTGAGATGACACGCGTGACAGGCGCGCCGTTTCGGCCGGATAAGATGGGATTAAGGAAAAACATATATCTCCCCTATATGCGTTATTGCCTCGACACGACGTATATGTACGCGAGATCGATGGAAAAAAATCGCGAATTGCGAGAGCGTGCTCACGCCTTTCCCCTCTCTCTCTCTCTCTCTCTCTCTCTCTCTCTCTCTCTCTCTCTCTCTCTCATGCGAGGATAGGGAGATTGGCAGGTCGAGCCGACTCGGCGCGGCGTCCCGTGAAACGAGAGGGAGACAGCGCGTCGTGTCGGGACACGCGTTTCTCTCCCCCCGCGAAAACGCAGAGTTTCCCGTCGTGACGCGGACAGTCCCATATTGTATCCACCGTCCGCGACGCGGACGCGCTCGCTTTGAACGACAGCGGCAATAGGCGTCGTCGATGCGCGGCGAGAGCCGTTCGTTTCGAGCGGACGAGCGTGCCGAATAAAGGCCGGAATTTCGGCCGACGAGCACCGGCCGTAACTACTGAACGCGCAGGGCCGCACTGTCGCGAACGCGAAGCATGGCGCAGGCACAACCACGTGTGTTCACTTTTCTTTTCGTACTTATGCAGACAAGAAGATGTTTTGGAGAAGATCTCGGTGCGTATTACCTCAACATGTCTTTTCATTAAATCGTATCTGTACATAAATTATTAGACACTCACATCTCAGTTTACAAAATTCGCGACAGATCGACCAGAAGATACTTGCCCGTTGCGAATAAGAAAGCAGGTACACACTGAGAGAAGAAAATACCCGAAATTTACAGAGCAAGATCACACTGAGAGAAATGTCTGATGATACTAACCAGAATTCTATTTAGGTTTACGAAATGATATGGTGAATAATCGTGTAATAAGATATTTAGTCAATGATACCAAACTATCTGGTGAACATTATCTAAGTAGTATTATAGTAATGTTTAAATACGTTTATCAAACCGTCTGGTACAGCATACAATTCATTTGGTAAATGTTATGAATACAGTTGAGTAGTTAGACTTCTTACCTAACCTAAAATCTAATCATATTATATATAATTTTCATATACTTACTGTATATATATAATCTTCATAAATTTACTTCTAGATTCGTCGACATATTTTAAGAAATTTCATTCTTCCAAATATTTGACGGTTTCAGCGTTTACTCTTTTATAGCACCGACGTCTTTACAAATTAATATAGATGAAAAAGGAAACGTCGCAGCGAGTAACAATTAACTATCGCGTCAATAGTATCACACGTCTAGAGAGAATTACCAAACTGTCTAGATGTCTACAACTAAATGTCTCGGTATTGACTACCAGATGCATCGAGGCATCGTAATCAGAATATCGGATATGTGAACCAGATATCGCATATAAATTCACCATATTATTTTCATAAGACGAGTATAGTGTCAAGCCATTTCTCTCAGTGCAGGAATGAAGTCCAGTTGGGGCTGCGGGCGCTTGGAGCGCCTAAAAGAAGACTCTGATTGTACGGCGCCCCGAAGCGTTCGAAGCGTCAAATGGATCGTCCAATTACTTGCATATCTCGACTCGCTCGGAATTCATTCGTTTCGCATTTCCCAGTAGTACAGATCCGCGTGAATCCGCGCCTGGTTTCAGAGCAGATCAACGAGCTGCGCGAAAACTTTTGCAGCTACATCGCTGCAACTGCACGCGCGCGCGGATGCACGCGTGGCGTGGCGTGGCGTCGCGTCGCGTCGCGTCGCATCGGCTTTATCATCGTGCCGCGGGCGATGCTATTGTTTTGCCCGGTGCCACGTCGCGCGATCATTGCGCCGCAAAAATACGACGTCGGCCGTTTTGTCGCTGCTACGGCACATGACGAGCCACCGCTCGAGGGGACGGATTACTCCATTGACACCCAGGATTTTTTAACGCCGCCGACGATTCGACAGTTTCGGTCTCGCCGCTCCATTGTACACGCACCCCTGAAAAACAAAAAGGACATAAAGAAATTTTAAACACCCCAAAAGCGCTCCAAGCGACGAATGATTCGAGGGAGCCGCTTCCCCATCAAGTTAATGTCGCGCCGCTCTCGCGTTTTAACGTATCGATCGATCACGCCTCTGCGCACGAGTTACATTCTCGAAAGAAGCGTCTGCCCCGCGGATTCGTCGTCGCGATTTATCCCGAAATATTCCATCATATCGACCCTTTATGCCTCAAGCGATATATCGATTTCTCATGAGCTTTGCGCAAGACCGATCGATGCAGGATGCATTTATTTGGCACTGTTGCTCTGAAACAACATCTGCTCTTACTTTTTATGTTTGTTAGTTTATGTGTCTCAGTAGTTTGCCATTTAATGACAAAAATCATTGAGAATATGTTTTCAAAATGATACATTTTGAAAATAATACAACTGCATTCAGGAGACATCATCAGTTTTACTTGGATGCTCAAAAATTTCTTTCCTTACATTTTTTGAAATTATTTTTAAATTTTCCTTAAAATTTAAATATTTACTAAGTTGCTGAGTGATCAGATGTTCCTTTGGGTTTCACAAACTCAACACTGCATGCGGAAGACTAAATTCGTCGCGTCTCATTAGATTACATGTAAAATGTAATGAATTATATTGGAAAGATTGCTTGTACGGGGCCAAAACAAAGCCAAAGATATATGGATCTTAAGTCGCATTTATTTAGCCTTTAATAATTTAATATAAAATTAAGGTAATTAAAAATTTAGGTAAGATGACCAATGCTCATGTTTTGATATTTTTGTAATAAATAATTTCACTGAAGTATTTTCTTTTTAACTCTGATGGTATTATGTACTATAGGCTTCAGTGAAGTAATGTGCCAACAAACGCTACCTTTAATAATTTAACCTTTAATAATTTAATCGTCAGTCAAGCTTCCGTACAATACGACGATGAGAATCAATGGAGTAGTGAACGTGTTGAGTGATTTCCGCAGATTTCCAAGATCAAGAGATATACTTCTCGCGGCGATTCTACCTCGTCTCTAACAGATAGCAGACGTCGTGTAATCGCACGGCTCATTATTCATAACGGAGAATACACACGCACGCGCGTGACGTCTTCGGAAAGCGGAAACACGCTCGGCCGTGTAACGCGTCATTAAGTATCCTTGCGGAAATCGCGCTTATGCAATTACAGCGCGCAAACGCAATTATAGAAATCTTCGCGAGACATGCGAAGATGCGCGCGCGAATCTTCGCATAACTAATACTTTGAGGATGTATTGCCCATATGATGCAGAAAACAGGGACAGTCGCATGAAACGGTTGCATGAAACGAAGAAAAAATGTTTTTATCATCGGTCGGTAAGTAAAAAAATTGTAAGTTTGATGCAACTGTTTAGCATCAACCATTCATTAACGTTTGTACTTTCACCTTCTAAAAGCATTCTCAATTTGATGCATCCAATTACACAGAAAGAACGATTTGGTTGAATAAAATAAATACTTTGGAGTAGTCCAAACGAATTTTTTGATTGATTAAACAAAATTTTGTTTGACGCAATAAAAATATTTATTTGCGGCTTAGTTTCAAAGAAATATTTTTGTTGTCAACCAAATAATTTGTTTGGACTATTCCAAAGAAAGGTTTATTTGATTTAACAAATCGTTCTCTCAGTGTGACAGAAGAAGAGAGAAAACTACGAAATTGTTATGTCAACGTTCAACATCCTCTCAAGTGTGGGCACTTTAAGAACCATCTATAATAGGATTGACAGTAGGTAGTAGACAGTAACACGTAAACAGTAAGCAAATTGACCAACCATAGTCGATTATTACAAGAATAGTCTACCTACTGCTATTCCATTGTAAACTCCAGGATAAACTCGGATAAGATGGCCATACTTTTTTAAAATACAAAAAAAAATACATTTCTTATTGTTATTTCTTAATAGCGTTTGTTGGCACATTACTTCACTGAAGCCTATAGTACATAATACCATCAGAGTTAAAAAGAAAATACTTCAGTGAAATTATTTATTACAAAAATATCAAAACATGAGCATTGGTCATCTTACCTAAATTTTTAAAACAAGATGGCCATAGGGAATAGATGACCCATACGTATTTTATGTTCAAGATTCTGTACCTATTTTATAAAATAATGAAAAAAACATAATTTGACATATTCATTTTAGTATAGGATATTTAATACATATTATTTGTAAAAAAAATAATATACATATAAAATAGAAACCTCTATTACAAAACTTAAATTCTAAATCCAATTTTTCATCAAAATATATTGCACATAAGATTTAATTACTGTAATAATGAAAGTAATTCTTGAAGTATAATGACTTTCGTTTTATAAATGTTAGAATGATAGTGGGCCATCTTACCCAAAATGTGAGTGAAAGACGCTTATAATAGTACTTATAAACAAATAGTGAGAACGAAAATAAAAATGCATGTTATATTACAATTTACATATCTACTTTATGTATCTAATGTTGATTGCGATAGCTTAACTGTAATTTATTCGACGTTCCAGCAAGTTTTACTGGACATATGAGAAATTTTACAGGTAGTCGAAAAAAAATATAGTATAATATTCATAATCTATTTCGAAAAATGTACGCATATACACCACGATAAATATCGATTATCTTTGTGACTGATTAAACAAACGCAATGTTTTGCAATTATTAGAGAAATTACAGCCTGTGGTCATCTTTCCGGTATGGCCATAATACCCGAGTTTATTTATATATAGTTTATTTATATATAGTTTAGTATATAGATCCTAGATGGACTTTTGCAGGTACGCACACGTTGACTTGTGGTACGATAGCGCTTTTTACGCGCTTTCGTTCGCAATGCGATTAGCACAGACGAGAAAACGCTCGAGTTGGAGAAAAGCTGAAGAGAGAAACGCGGGGACGTTAGTCATTTTCGAGATGTCGAGATCCCTATCGTGTCCCGGCGAAACGCGTCGTCGTCGTCGTCTTCTTCTCCTTCTCTCGGTTAAGACAAGCGAAACGTTTTACAGCGAGGTAGCTTCCCTACACGCTGTTAACTTATCTTAGATTACATAAAATCTTGTCGCAGGTTCTTTTTATCCGACGAAGATATATCACTGTCGTTGCGCCGTATGATGGATGAAGCGAGCCAACCGCATCGCGGTGTAACACATAACCCGCGCATGTCTAATTAATTACACGGGGATATCCCATAACCGTCGCGAGCTTTCCTCCGCACTACTCACTGTGACACGTATTCGGAAACGACTTTCGCTCGACGAGGTCGTCGCGACTACGGCGTTCTCCTCATTTCCGGCGGCTCGAGGGAAAGGAAGGAAAGGAAATTTGCGAGTAAACGTCAACTCCACCATCTCTCACTATCTATTCAGATCAAAGTAAAAGTATGTTATCAGTATCCACCGAATGAATATTCACCATCTTTTGAATATTTTTGCTCTGAGTGAGTACAGTTAAAAAGTCCGGCTCAGGAGAGAGTAGCCACCTGAGTTGAAATTTTGACCCTACGTTAAACCTTGAATTCTACACCACAGTAGGAGCTAAGATAGCAAAGTACATTTAATTCTAATGATATAATTTACTCCTATTTTGACCCTGATGATGTCTAAAATTTTCGCTTTCTTTAGCGTCAAAGTAGATTGTATAATAGTAGGATCTTAGGAAGCAAAGTAGGTTCAATTGTGAACCTCTATTGAAGCTTTAGTTCCTACATAGAATATATGTATTTTATAGAAATATTTAAAATTTTAATATATAACGAAACAGAAATGTCAAATAGCATACAAAATATACATTTTATTTGTTACATATATTTCAGACATCATCAGGGTCAAAGTAGGAGTAAATTATATCAATAGAATTAAACTTCCTTTGCTATCTTAGCTCCTACTGCAGTGTAGAATTCAAGATTCAACATAGGGTTAAAATTTCGACTCGGAAATGAGCATCAATATCGTCAAAATAGGTTTCACTTATTTGTAATTCACCTAAGTTGTAAATTATCTAAGTAAGTTCAAACTATTTTTAAGAGCGTCAAAGTAGCGTCAAAATTTTGATAAAGTAGAATTAAAGATTCAAAAGAGAAGTTAATCAGTATCGTCAAAGTAGGTTTTACCTAGGCTATAAACCGTCTAAATAAGCGCAAACTATCCTTAAGAGCGTCAAAGTAGCATCAAAATTTCGACTCGGGTCTATTCAGATTGAAGTAAAAATATGTTAACAGTACCCACCGAATGAATACTATCTTTTGTTTCTAATGTACTATCTTTTATTTCTAATTTACTATCTTTTGAATATTTTTGCTCTCACTGAGTACAGTTAAAGAGTCCGGCTCAGGGGAGAGTAGCCAAGACTCTGAATCGACAGAAATTTATGTGAAAAAGATTTATAATCCTTAAGGTAACCGGTCTTCCCGCACGTCTCGCCGTTTTTCGCGCACGATGGAAAACGAATTAATTGCTGTACAAATTGCCGGAGCATGGACAGATAGGATAAGAGGTAGGGCGACGAAGAGGCGAGCCTTATCGGCTCGCCTCCCAATTAGCGCGCGGGTATCTTCGATTAATTAAAGTACCCCACGGAAGAAAGTGGTATTCGCGTCGCGGTGCGCCACGGCGCTTTTTCCCGCGCCGGCCCGCCGGCTACGACCATTGTCCCCGTTAATTAGTGCGCGACGCACGTGCGCAACTGCCGCGAGTTTATTCGCAACTAATTATAAAGCCCTAATTAGCCCGGGCTTCCGCGTTCTCGGCGTAATCGCGCGCGCCGATTTCCCGACATTAGCGGCGCGGTACATTACTCGCGATTGACATCAAAGGCGAGATCGGCATGTACACCTCTGCCTCGGATTTTACGATCAATTTAATCTCGACGGCGTGATTGAAGGGCGCGAGCGCGCCCCGTCAACGTTTCTTAGATATAAGAGACTGGCCGAGATTGGCCCAAGTTTGATTGGTTGATTG